AGAGAGAGAGAGAGAGAGAGAGAGAGAGAGAGAGAGAGAGAGAACTTGAGGCCTGGAAGGTGGGAGGGGCTCCCTGTCTGTGTGTTGGTGATGAGCTGACCCTCCAAGATGTCATAGCCACACAATACCCTATCATGGAACCACCACCAGGGACACGGGAGAGCCTTGCCTACCTTTTCAGTTTCCAAGCTTGGCTACGCAGCAGGTGTGCCATGGCGTATTCCCTATTTCCACAAACGAGTTATACCCAACAGCCCCCATTCCAACCTGTTCGTGCATACCTTCCTGCACAGGGCCTGGTAAATCCTGCGGTAGCACCTCCTCTTTCGGGTTTTCCCTCTTTCTGGTCAATCGGAGGCAACAGGTTTGCCAGACTCTGATGATTCTCTGGATGCCGCGGAAAATGACTAGGCTGTTAAGTTTTTTTGTTTTGTTTTGTTTTACGTGGTATGGGATGCAGTACTGTGGCCCTCCGTGGCGGCCTAAAATGGAGGGACCCAGGCAGTCCTGTCTGCACCCTTCCCCCCGCGGTCTCTAGGCACTGTGAGGCCCCAAGGTCCTTCAAGCGGCCGCCCAGCGGGGGTGGCGTGGGTGGCGTGGGTGGCGTGGGTGGCGCTCTCCACCCAGGGGCTACCTTTGTGGCGGGCGATGGCTCACTCGATCCGCACGCTGAGCATCACCGAGGCCACCATATAAAAGTAGGGGAAGTTCACGCGCAGCCGCCAGGCCAGGTCGAAGAAGGTGAGCAGCGTGCGCGTGAGCCCCTTGCGGAAAATGCTGTACGAGCCGCGCGTCGCCGCCCAACGCAACAATCGCAACAATCGCATTGCCAGGCCGGATAGGGCTGCAGCCGCAGCTGCAGCCGACAGGGCCGCAGTCACCACCATCGGCCTGGCTCACCCGCTCACCTGCCACAAAGCCAGCCCAGGGCGTCACCTGGAACCATCCCACGCTGTCGGCAGCCGTGCCCTCGGGCTCCCGGGTCCCTGCAGCACCCAGTGCTCCACCTACCACCCTGCAGCCTAGGTTGCTTCTGGCCTTCCCGCCAGACCCGCCGCTTCTTGGCTCCGCCCCCTCGCCGCAGGCGCTGGGAGGATTGAGATGGAGACCCTGCAGCAGGCTCACAAACTAGCCTCAGAGGTGGGTTAAATGCCCAGCCCCCCCCCCCCCCCCCCCCCCCCCCCCCGCACTCTGAGACCAAGGCCTGGACAAGCTGGTTTAGGGACCCCGCCTCTCGTTCCTAATGGCAGGTCTCTGTTGAGCCCAGGCCCCCTCACTAGACCACTGTGATCTAGCCCCACACAGTATGAGTTCATCTTCACCTCCTTCCTGGTTGCTCAGTGCTTATTCCTGAGGACCAAGTGAATTAGGAAGTGCTAGTGCCAGAGCTGGCTCTTCTGAATCCCCTAGGATAATGGAGGTTTAGTAGGTTTCAACCACTTTGCTAATGTTGTACAGAAACCATATCCAGAAGCCCCAGCCTATGCACACCTTCATCCTTCTTCCCCAGTTTCGTCAGGATTATGTGGCCAACCAAAACCACGCACCTTTCTTGAATTCAAATAGAACTGTAACTGTACCATGGTGTGCTACGAAACCTATATTCAAGTATTATTTTCTATTATATTTACTGGTACTGTGTATTTCTGTGTGCAAATTCCAACATAGCCCGTGGATTTCTAAGAATGCCCCCATTTAAACTGTTTATCCTGGTTACTAAGCAAGTTTGTCTTGAATTTGCATTTGCTCTTTGTTTATGACCCCTGACACAGTAGTGTGCTTAAATGCCCTTATTTTTTTTTCACCTGGCTTTATGCTATGTAAACCAAACTAAACCAAACTAGACCAAATACCATGAAATCCCTACATATTTAATGAAGCAAGAAATCCTCAGGCTTCCATATGGTTACAAGTTTAAAAGCAGTCACCTTATTGCCTTTTAAGAGTTTACAAGGAAGTTATATCCGAGTATTCCTCTAAAAATGCCTGTTCACCATTACGTCCCTTCCTGAACAACTGCTTGCGGGGACCAGAACATTCACATATATTTGGATCATTGTCCTTTTTTTATGGTCGAGATTTTTGTTGTTGTTGTTGTTTTGCTTTTTAAGGGAAACCTGAAACATTAAAGAGATAGTACAGCAGTACAGATCCACCATCCATGCTCCCGTCTGTTCCAAAACACATCATGACTACAGTCTTTGAGAATTAAGGGTAAATATGGACAGTCATGGAGAAAAAAAATATTAGAATTTGTGAAAAATGGATCTTCCCTTAAAATGTCAAAATAATAATGTCCTTCTTTGAAGAAAATATTAAAGTGAGTAAAAAATAAGGATGAGTAGAATGGACTTTCTTCTGGGTTTTGAAAAGTTTATTTATTTTATATATGTGCATAGGTGCACACCTGTGTGAGTTTATCACGCATCAGGCGTGTGCCTAGTGCCAATGGAGGCATGCCAATGGAGGCCAGAGGATGTGAATGCACTGATGTGGGTTCTTGGAATCAAACCTGGGTCCTCATGAAGATCAGTAAGCATTCTTAACTGCTGAATTTTTTATCCAGCCCCCTTAATGTGTTTTCAAAATTAAATTTGAGAGTGAATAACCTCAAAAAGTAAATGCCAGCTAATGTAATGCTCTCTCCTTCTGCAGCTAAAATACTTAGAAATGTGTTTTTAAAAGGAGGTTAAACAGACCTAAAAAGAGTGATACTTCTATATTGCTGGGAATGATTTAAAATGCCAATGCTAGCAGAGTGCGAGAAGTTAATATGTAGATTGTAATACCTGTAGCAGACACTGAAAGTGACTATATGAAATTCATTATACAGCAGTACAGATAAATCACAATGAAAATTTAGAAGTATTCATGTAATCCACAGTAGGGGAAGAAAATAGGAACAGGAGAAAGAAACAGAATTAAGGGACAAAGATACATTAATATGTCTTAGTTAAATCCTTTCAATACTCATTTAAATTTTGTTTTTGAGACAGGGTCTCACTGTGCAGTCCTGGCTGACCTGCAATTATCTATGAGAACCAGGCTGCTCTCAAACTAGGAAAAATGCCCCTGTCTCCTGAGTGCTAGGATAAAAGGTGTACCCCATCGTGCTCTAAACACATCAATTAGAAGACCGAGATTATCAGAGTAGATTAAAAACTCATTTCAAAATGTTTTAAGTAACTTGAAATATTTACTTAACATAGCATAGTTAACAATTAGCCAAGAAATTGAAAAAATATGAAGTATTCAACAATTCATGAAGGGATAAACAAAGTATGGTCCCCATATACCATAAAATATTCAGTTATTTAAAAAAACAAACACGAGTATAGCAGGTGGTCATTAAATAAGGACAAATACAATAAAATTTCAATAAACAAATCTTTAGAAAATCTACCCCAACTAGAATAAAACATCAAATATTTTTCAAAAATGTTATGCTTCAAAGAAGACAGACAAGCTTTGCAGTCACATTGTGTCCCATGAATTTTTAACCCCACTGGCCCTATTCTGCCCAACAATTTAGGAGTGGTTGTTTAGTAAAATTCAGTTTACCCTAAGGCTGGAGCTTCAAGGGAAAGCAAAGCAAACACCTGCAGAGCTTCTGAAAAGGACAGGCAGAAAACACACATGCTTCAGCGAGATTAAATTTGTGGTAGAAAGGGACTTGTCGCTAAAAAAAAAAAAAAAGTGTTTTACTTCTCAAGGGTATAATGAAAGGAACAGTAATGAAAACCAGTGATAACTCTAAAAGAGCTTTGTTTATGATGGACCTTATAGTCTGTCTTCCAAGATTCAACCAAATCAAATAAACCAAGCCTAGTAACATTAAAAACAATAGCCTCAACCAATGTATGATTAAATTCCCTTATAGTTCATATTCTATTTTCTCTTTCTCAGACCTTACAAACACTGATTTGTATTTCAATAGGATTTATTTATTATAGAACTTTCTTTATACACTAACAATTAAATCATAAGGGAACATGTGATTAATACACTGCTCCATTTAAAAAAAAATCATTATACATCCAAGCATGCCGGAAAAATACTTTTAACCTCAGTATTCAGGAAGCGGAGGCAGACAGAACTTGGTGAATTCCAGGCCAGGAGGGTGGTCTATACAGACTGTCTTAAAAAATAAAAATAGTTTTTAGATGGTTTTGACTGCTGTGGCCCATCATCACTGCTCTCTATCTGTACAATAACTGCTCTTCCCTTAATTTGCAATTTTAAGAGAGCAGTTATGAATGGAAAACTGCATATTATGTCCTGTTGTTACACATTTTTTCTGATCTTGGAGAAGTGGTTAATGATAAAGAACTGCTCTCTTTTCCCTTCATTTCCTTTCTCAGTAAGAGGGTGTCCGTTTGTTGCCCAAATGCCAAATTTGTATTTTTGGTACCCTTACTGCCAAACCTAATGACCTGAGTTCAATCCCAAGGACCCTCATGGTGGGAGAAAATTAGCTTCTGCAGGTTAGGTCATCATCCTCTGACCTCCACAGGCACGCAGTGTGCACACACATATGTGCATGCAGATGCACTAAATAAATGGATAAATAAAGTTTTAAAGAATGAATACATATCAGATTGAGAGCTCATGATACCTTGCTTACCTTTATCTCCTTGGTGTTAAAAAAACGAACCCCGGCAGAACCCCTACAAAACTCCCTATGAAACTGTCTGTGATGCAAGCAGCTATGGCGCCTGTTAGGCCACTCGTCAAAGTGCCCCCCAAAACCTATGGGACAGGACTTCTGGCAGCAATTGTAAGCGTGAGCACCAAGCGCTCAGGGATAACATGATTTTTTTAAATTACTATTTATTCATTTATGTGTGTGTGTGTGTGTGTGCGCGCACAAGGATATATATATACATATATACACACACATATATATGTATGTGTATATATATGTATGTATGTATAATAGTGAAATCATCAGAGCATACAATCACCCTACATTTAGCTTTCTGAGAAACAGTCCAAGGGGAAGGAGAGTTGCTTTAGCTGCTGTGCCAATTAAACAAGCTCAGTCACAATACGTGAGCACTGTAACTGCTTTATAACCTGCCAGCACTTGCTATTGCTTACCTTTTGAAAAATCATAAACACTAATGTAGATATGATACAGCCATCAGTGTAGTTAAGTTTTTTGTTTGTTTGTTTGTTTTTGTTTTGGTGCTTTGTTTTGTTTTCGTTTGTTTTTTTTTGTTTTGTTTTGTTTTGTTTTTTGAAACAAGGTTTCTTTGTGTAACAGCCCTTAGTGTCCTGAAACTCAGTCTGTAGACCAGGCTGGCCTCAAACTCACAGAGATCTGCCTGCCTCTACCTCTTGAGTGCTGGGATTAAAAGTGTGCACCACCACCGTCTGGAGCTTTATTAATTTTTATGGCTGACTATGTTAGACACACATGGCATATTTGGAATGAAAAAAATATATATTTATATACAGAAAATTCAGGCCACATAGTGGTGATGCAGCTCTTGAATTCAAGCAGTAGGGAGGCAGAGACAGGTGGATCTCTGCGTTCATAGCCAGCTTGGTCTACAGAGTTCCAGGACAGCCAGGCCTCCACAGAAAAACCTTTCTTAAAAACAAACAAACAAACAAACAAAAATACAAAAGAAGGAAAAGAAGAAAACCCGGCAATACACATTTAACTCAGTTTAGTGGCAAGTTCCTTAGCCACAGATGTGGGACCCAGAAAGTCAGAGCTCACTGTGTCACTTATTGTAAATGGTCCTCAGAACCTCCAGCAGCTTAACCTCTCAAGTCAATTTGTGTTAAAGGCAGTGGTGGTGGTACTTGTCTTCCTGTTCCTGTGGACCAACTGCCCCCGCCTGGCCTTCCTCTTGAGGATGCAATAGAGGACCCCCATCTTGTGACATTAGGAAGGCAGGAAGAGCACTATGGTGGTTCTGTGTAATCTAACCTGGATTTGTAGGTGAGCGTGAGCAGAGGGGTAACTGTTTGATAGTCTGTTTAATTCCGATAGGCAATTTTTGGACACTTATAAAAGAGAACCCTAACCCCATAAAGGCTCCTTTTATCAAGATATTTCTTTCTTTGCTCTCCTGCTCTGTCCCTCCCCCAACTCAACCATCCAGTTCCCTCATGCTGTCCTCCCTTGCCCTTCCTTCTCTCCCCAAGCTCCCAATTTACTCCGGAGATCTTATCTGTTTCCCCTTCCCAGGTGCATCTGTGCATCTTTCGCTTAGGGTCTTCTTTGTTACCTAGCTTCTCAGGGGTTGTGGAATGTAGCCTGGTTATCCTTTTCCTCATTCCAGAGATTTTTTTTTAGTTCCATCCATATTATGGGGTTAGGGAGAAATCTGGTGCTAGGGAAATTCCCAGGAATGCACAAGGATGATTCCAGCTAAGACTCCAAGCAATAGTGGAGAGGGTGCCTGAACTGTCTTTCCCCTGTAATCAGATTGAAGACTACCTTATCATCCTTGAACCTTCATCCAGCAACTGATGGAAGCAGATGCAGAGATCCACAGCTAAGCACTGCGTCCAGCTCTTGGAGCTGAATGGAAGAGAGGGAGGAGAGATTATATGAGCAAAGGGCTCAAGATCATGATGGGGAAACCCACAGAGACAGCTGACCTGAGCTTACTGACTCTGAACTGACAGTTGGGGAACCCTGACAACATGGGACTGAACTGGGCCCTCTGAATGTCAATGACAGTTCTGTGGGCTTGGGTGGTCTCTGGGGCCACTAACAGTGGGAACAAAATTTATCCCTAGTGCATGAACTGGCTTTTTGGAGCCCATTCCCTATGGAGGGATACCTTGCTCAGCCTAGATACAGGGGGAGGGGTTTGATCCTGCCTCAAATGCTGTGGAGGACTTTGTTGACTCCCCATGAGAGACCTCACCCTTTCTGAGGAGTGGATGGGGGTGGGGGGGTGAGGGGAGCAGGAGGAGGGGAGGGAGAGGGAACTGTGGTTGGTGTGTAAAATGAAAAAAATAAATTAAAAACAAGAAATAGAAAAGTGCTAGTAATTACAAAGGCAGTATTACCATAGACTATTCTAAACTCAAGTAGTATTCAATTTGTAATTTTTATGACAAGAGATTAAAAAATAGTTGAAATGCAAAAATTCTTCAACATATAAAATCTAAAAGGCCTAATAGAAATTTCTAATTGAAAGTTTGACTTAAATATATCCCCAAATATACCCCAGGTCATCTGCCCTGCTCCACACTGTTCTAACAGCACTAATTTGCATCCAGTGGAATTGGATGAGAGTCATTGTTAACAACCCCCCCCCCCCTCGCACACACACAAAAAGAAGAGAACCAACCCTTTGCCACTGCAGCTGAATGTAGTGTGGCCATCTGACAAAGTAGATAAGGTCTCTTTTGAGCAGCATGTCCTGTCCAATACCAAAAGTTCTTAGGGTTTTTTCCCCCTCAAATGGAGGATTCTCCATTTTTTTTGCCTCCTAAGTATTCATAACAGCGGAGGCTGGTCCCACCTTTCCCCTTGGCGGCCTTGCCTTTCATCACACTGCTTGGCTGGGGAGAGAGGCACATGAAAAATTTGTTTATCCATTCACCCACTGAAATAGATTCCCAGTGTAATTCTATTGCCTTATTCTTGCTTTTGTTTCCAGGGCTTCCAGAGTTCTAGTCGGGAAACTATTGCTTGCTTTAACATTTTGGAGCAGCAACTTGTTGCTGTAAACAAGCAGCAATGCTTGCTCCCTGGATTTTATTCTCGTAAAAAATGGTCCAATAGGATGCGGTAGCTCATGCTTGTAATCCCAGCATTCAGCAAGCTGAGGGCATCCTTTAATTCCAGCATTCAGGAGGCAGAGGTAGGCAGATCTCTGAGTTCAAGGCCAGCCTCGTCTACAGAGTGAGTCCCAGGACAGTCAGGGTTATTACAAAGAGAAACCCTGTCTCGAAAAGCCCACAAAAGAAAAAAGAGAAAAAAAAAAAGAAAGCTGAGACAAGAAGATTACCACAAGTTTGAGGCAGCCTGGGTTAGAATAAAATCTTATCTCAAAAACAAAACTACAATAACAAGCCATGAAAATGTGTACGGGTGGAGCCTATTTTGGATTGACTACTAGATCCCAACTCTTTGCGACGGAGAAGCTGTGAAGTCCCGCCTTCCTACTTCCCTTGACTCGCGGCCTTCATTGTGTAATCTACACTCTTATTGGCTGGTTGAGCAGGCTCACTGGCGCTCCGTGCCGTGCGTGGCAGTGTTGCCCCAGTGAGAGCCTAGAGCCAGTGTTCAGAGCACGGAAGGAGAATAGCCTCTGTGCGAGCTGCTGTGAATTCTCCCGGGAGACAGAACTAGACAAGCGAAGCCTCACTCCTGGTACCGCTTGGTACTCAAGCTTCCTCAGACATAAAAATAACAACAACCATGCACCGGATAATTTCCAAATTTCGTGCTTTCTTTCAGAGGAAAGCAGACTCCGACTCCGAGGAAGAGAGAGAGGAGAAGCTCTTGGAAGGTATTGCACTAATTCTTACCCTAAAGAGACCTTCTCTTAGAGGAGTGTTCCTTCTTGCTTTGGAGACTGAAGAACTTAGAAAACCTCTCCCTGGTTTGGTAGCGCCATCTTATTGCAGTAGGCCATCCCCAGATCCTTATGCTATGCCCTCCTACGCCATGCCCTCCTACGCCACCTGCCGGATACCACTCATGCATTGACTCATTCTAGAATTTTCTTGCCCAAAGTAATGACCTAAGGCAAAGAGAAAATAATGACCAATAAAGGCAAAATAATGGTGACTCTAGAGATGGCCCAGCAGTTAAGAGCATTTTTAGTTCTTAGATGACCCAAGTTCAGTTCCCAGCGCCCATATTTTTGCTCACAATGGCCTCAAACTCTAGTCCTTGGAATTCCCAAGTATTCTGCCCTCCTCCGAGGACTCGTGGTCCATATACATACACTCAGGCTCATGCGTGTGCACGCGATTACTCACGCGCAAACACACACATACACACACAATTTTTCTTTAAAAAAATCTTTAAAATAAAAAGGACAAAGTATACAAAGGACAAAGAAGGCAGAGGAGCCACTGCAATATACCTGAGGAGCTATTGGCAGTTGATAGCTGCCGGGAAAGGAAGAGCCAGTTTTCTCTAAGGATGTGACCACTGGTAGGTTGACCACACTCCAAGGCAAGCACTAGATCGAAGATTATTTGGGAAGGACAAATTAGACTTGATGGGCTGAAAGAAAGACGGGGAGACTACTAAGTTGGGACTGGGGGGGGTGAGTCTGGGAGGAACTGAAGCACGTAGGGAGGATCAACAGGCTCAAAATATATTGGAGGAAATTCTTAAATAACTAGGAAATAATTTTTAGACAAAAAGCGGTTAGGAAATGAAAAAGTGGGGGTGGGAGAGGGGAGGTGTCTGTGCCCAATGTTTGCATTTATCTGCATTCTTTTGGGGACGTTTTGAACCTTTTGAGATCAGGCCTCCCTGTGTAAGCCAGTTTACCATCAACTCACCACTTTCCCTGCTTTAGTCTGCCATAGGTCACAGGAAGATTCCTTTTGTAGTTACAGTAGTAGTAAATCTTCTACTTTGGTGGTGATTTTACTTTATCCTAAAAAAAAAAAAATCCTCTTTTTATGTGTCTGAGTGCAGTTGTGCAACAGCACAAGTCAGGAGGTCAGAGGTCAACTTTTAGAACTTTCAGGAGTCCGTTCTCTCTTCCCATTTTGTGGGATCAAGGAATCAAATTCAGGTATCAGGCCTGAGGAGAAGGGCCTCTACCCCATGAGCCGTTGTGACAGCCCATTAGTTTTGTTGTCTTTTCTGAGCACATGTCTGTGTCTATGACTTAGCTTTCTCTTCCTGGGATCAAATGCCCGAGACAAGTTAACTGAGAGGAAGAAAGGTTTCTTGTGGCTCCTACTTTCGGAGTGTTCAGTCAGTGGTTGCTTGGCTGTGTTTCTGGAATTCTGGCAAGACAGAACATCCTAGTGGGAAAGACGTAGGGGAGCACAGCTGCTCAACTCAGGACAGGCAAGAAGGAGAGAAAAAGATCAATTTCATCGCAAAGCCCTTCATCCTCAATCCATCAAGCTAAATGAATTCATACATAGAATTACTCAGCTAATGAGGTCAGGGCCTTTCTAACCCAAAGGCTTCCCTTCAGAACACTGATCACTGTGATCAGAACACAAACCGCTTCTGTTTTCTGAGACAGGGTGTTTCTGTGTGGTCCTGGTTGTCCTGGAACTTGCTTTGTAGACCAGGCTGGCCTTAAACTCAGCACTCGCCTGTCTCTGCCTCCCAAGTGCTGGGTTTAAAGGCGTGCGACATCACAGCCTGGCAGGGACTAAGCTTTTAATAAGTTAGCTTGTAGATGACAATTAAAACCAACCTATAACAAAAACCAAGCAAATGAATCATGTATCTGTGACCAGTAAGAAGATAGGAACCAAAGTTTACTTACTCACTTTGTATCCCTAAATGTATGCCCTGGAGTCTGCCACTGATCACCTGTCCAAGGGATTATTTTAAAGGTATCTATTTCATCAGTGAGAGTCCAGGAAATAGTGAGAAATGACTGGGATGAATAGTATCCCTCCCAGCTCAGAACGATATCCATTCTAATTAGTCAGCTACAATGTATGCTCAAAGATTCTGGCCTTAAGGCCTGAAAATCTCATTACTATTCACAAGCGTATTAACAAAAGAAGCTGTGGTATCATCCTATCCATGCCACAGACATTCAGGTAGGCAAACAGCTGGCCCACAAACTAGCCGTGTACTCTTCTCAGCTTAGATGGCTGTTTCCCACAACTTTCTCTGGTAGGGCTTATTTGTAGTATGTGTTTGCACTTGAGAATAATTTATATATTTTTTCTCTATTCATCGTTTAGGTGCTGGCATGTTCCAAACAATGAAGGGAGTTGCAACAGGGTCCTGCAGTGGCTATGGTTACCCTAATGAACACATCCTCAATGCTGGTGTCATGGCGGACAAGGAACTTCTTAAGCAAAAAGGTCCCGAAGCTGTGGAAATAGATGAGATCATTCGCGGATTGAATGCAACCACAGTAAGAGTTGTATATTCCAGGCACTGTCTTGTGTCTGAGTTCTTTCACCCTAGCCTCTATTCATTCAGTCGCTTTTGAGTAGACATGTTGAAGTGTATGGAAACTGAAATCTAACTTAGAGGATTGTATGGAACATCTGATCTATTTAGAAAAGTATAAATTACATTATCTATTCCTCAGTATTTAACAGTAATTATTAGAATTTATATTATCTTGTAACCTCCTCCTATAATGCAAATAACGGATATGTGTTATTTGATAAGTAGTTATGAGGCAAAAAGATATGTACTATAATAATTTTTTTTAAAAAAAATAGTTTTATTGAAGTATAATTTACTTGCCATGGAGCTCTCCAAGTTTCAAACATTTTTAGATTTATGGAATCTGGATCTAGCACCCCAGTTCAGATACTTATCATTTAAATCTGTATATGCAAGTTAGGCTTATTATTAGTGTCCTAATAGACACCAGCAGCAGCAGAATGCGCGACTCCCTATTTGCCAGGGCTGGCAAGAGTGACGGAAGTATTCCCAATCCTTGAAATTTTTAGCCATCAAAGAAGTGAAACACCAGCCAGGCTTCCACACATGAAATGGCTCTCTGTTGGTTTGGAGACAGGGCACTGAGAGGTGGGAGGGTCCACTGGACCATTCACATAGCTATGGGAGCCTGCTGCTTCTTTTATGGATAAAACTGAATGAATAAATTGGTACGGGCAGCTGGAGTTGGAGATTACGTAGAAGGTGAAACTAGGGTTTTCAGAATTGGAAACATGAAAATGAATTTATGTGAATCAATCTTTCATTCATTTATTGCCCCCAAACCAAATTTAATTAATCAACCCTATAAATCAGGAACACCACAATTTCAGTTACTCCTTTGCAGTGCGTTATGCCTGTAGCTATATCTGGAGGACGAAAAGGCCATTAAGACTTTCAGACCTTACTAAAGTGCCATGAGCTGCCGTGACAGTAAGCCGGGAACTAACTAACTCCATGAAGTGCTTGTACGAACATGGAGACCTGAACCAGCACCCACTTAAAAGCTGGCCGCCCCAACATGACCTTTAGTCCCAGTGCTGAAGCGGAGATAGGGGAGTTCCTGGAGCCTGCTGGCCAGCCAGTCTAGGCAGTCCTGGCATTCTGGTTTGGTGAAAGAGCCTGCCTTGAACAATAAGGTGGAGAACAATTGAAGAAGATCCCAATGTGGGCCTCTGACGTCTGCACATACAGGCATGAACATCTCTCAACCACTGCTTCCTCTACACACACACACACACACACACACACACACCACATTTTACAAGGGTAGGATAAACCAACAGTTTCACCTTCTAGACAGTCACATTTGAATGAATGTGAATTCAACCACCCTTACATACCTTTTTTTAGGAACATAGGAACAAAAAGTCTACTCACTCCAATTAGTGCACTAAAGACAGACCAAAGAAATGACTCTGGCCAAATCTAACTTGATATGTAGTGAGCTTATTGGAGTCTTATATGGGGTTTAGTTATAGGACAACAGGTGACTTAAAGTCAACTCTGTCACCAAAAAGTGTACCCCACCATTGGTGATGACTTCTGAAAGCTGCATCCCTGGAATTCAGAGGAAATAGCTACTACATACGGGTCATTTACAATAAGACTAAGGTGGGGAGAGGGGTTATGGTCGGAATGTATTGTATGAGAGAAGAATAAATAAAAATTTAAAAAGAAAAAATAAATAAGGAAACTATAAAAAATGTCATAAAAAAAAAATCAGCATGGGAGAAGAACTGCTGAGACTCTCTTAACGCAAGCACAAAATGTCCCATAGGCCAAGACTGTTCAGGTACAAGTTCATGCAGGTAGCCTCGGTCCTTCTCCCAGTTCCTTCCATGCCCCAGGGAACGCTTCAAGAGGCAGGACAAGCCCAACCAGGCGCATTCTGACCAATCTGCATCATAAACTGTTGCCCCAGGTTGAAGAAAGCAGCTTGAGCTCTGGGTGAAGCCTGAGGCTGGGGGTTAGAGGAGGCAGGAGTAAGTGAGGAGTAGGGCAGTGTGGGTCTGTGCCGTGGCGTCCTCTTCCTTGTTCAGAAGCCCCAATAAGAAGAGCAAGGCGCCCATGTTCGCAAGGTTACAGCCTGGTTTGCTGCCCCAAGTCACACAAGCATGCTTGAGAGCCCAGACTGTCGTTGGCCCTACATGGCTAACTGGCACAGCCTTGGCACAGCCTCCTTGGTGGCATCCCAACAACATCGCCTGCTTTTCTTCTTCGCTTCAGCATGGTGTCACTCCGCACCAGGCACCCAGGGGCTCTGTAGGCTTCAGGAGCCACAGAAGATGTGAGAGCAAGACCTAAGTTAGATCAGGAAACAACAAAGCCCAGGGCCATTAGATGCTCTTACCATGGGCCAGCAGCTGTGGGGGGGCTCTCGCTGGAAAGTTTTGAGCTTGAAATTCTGCTCCTGAGTGTTTATCTTACGTGTATATATTAGGCAAATGGGTAGTGTATTGGATTATAAACTGCATGTCCAATTGTGTGGAATGGAGCCACCAAATTATGGCACTTCCTTTTTGTGGGACGCCAAGTTATCTTTTAAAAAGTTAGTAAACTGACTTATTTGTGCTCTTTTGGTTATATATTTATTACATGTGTGTAATGTTATATTCTCCTGTAAAATAGTGCATAGGTAAATAATCTCGAATAAAGGAGGTCTGAGTGTTATAGTTCAGGGAAGAAAGGTACAGACTGCTACACATGTAAAACTGACGTCCTTTAGTAGCTGACAGTGGAAGGCAGGCTCTTGCCGTGAAGAACTCCTGGCACCGAAGCTCAGGGGTACAGAGTTTATAAAGGCAAAAAAACCCACAATGACATTATTGTCAGGTATAGGCTGGGAGAACTTGGTTATATTAGTTTTGGTTATGCATTCAGTGTGCAATTTGGTTACACATCCAGGCCATGGTGAAGGTCATGGAAAATCCTTAGTGTGTGGCTAAGGCTGATGTGACTGTTCAGGGAATTAGGGACTGAAAATTGCCTACACAGACACAAAATGGAGCCATGGTAAGATGTTATTTTGGTCATTTCATGAGAGCATGGCCAGCAGTTATTGCATAGGAAACAGACATGAATTATCTGTAATTTTTCTTGCTTTTGTATTTTTTTTTACATTTTATATGTATGATGTGGGAGTCTTCTGCTTTGTGTTGATTTCATTGGTTAAATCAAGAAACTGCCTTGGCCCTTTAATAGGACAGAAAATTAGGTAGGCGGAGTAGACAGACAGAATGCTGGGAGAAAGAAGCCGAATCAGGCAGTCACCATGATTCTCTGACCACAGACAGATGTAGGCTAAAATCTTTCCTGGTAAGACACCATCTCGTGGTGCTACACAGATTATTAGAAATGGGTTAATCGAGATGTAAGAATTAGCCAATAAGAGGCTGAAAATAATGGGCCAGACAGTGTTTAAAAGAATACAGTTTCCATGTAATTATTTCAGGTAAAGCTAGCCGTACGGAGCTGGGAGGGAACACAGCCCACCACAGCTCCTACTACATATGTTGAACATAAATTATTTTTGTAATGACAAAAGCAAAACATCAGATAAAGATGTTTGCAATTTGAAGAAATAAAGATTTAGATGCCCCCATTTTTCTTTAGATACAGCCCCAACTTAACTGTGATTTTTAGACCCTACAGCCTTGGTTGCTTTCTTTGCTCTCATATTAAACTCGGCCTGACCATGCTTAGCTTCCAAGATCACATGAGACTGATAGTATTTAGGGTGCCATATGGACACTAGATTTATTTTTCTCAAATTTACCTTGACATTCTTTTGTCTCCCTAGATGCTCTGGTCTGGAATCTTAACATTTATCCCCTCCCCCTTTTCTGTATTGATGCTGGTTTATCAATTGTAGTCAATGTGGCATACAAAAGCAAGATGCTAATGATAGAAGCTAAAGATCACTTGTGGGAGTGTGTAGCAACTCTCTGTATTTTCTTCTCAACTCTCCTAATCGGCTCTAAAACTACAGTAAAAATGATTGGAAGCTCAATCACTATTTCATCAACACATGTCAATTTATGTGTCAGTTGTCAACATTATTTGAATTATTGAACAGATTTTCAGGTTAAAATTTAGATTTTTTTTTAAACTTGAGTTTCTTTGAAATAACCATTTTTATTTGTTTGTTTACTTACTTTCCAGGTGGGTGCTTACTATCGTGGCCATGATGAACCACCAGAACGTCACATGACAGTTTCACTTGACTGTATTAAGTCTCTAATGGATGGTGTTGATCATATCAATCACGATCAATCCTTCTCTCTCGACATTGTCTGTAAAGGTACATTTTGCCTTTTTATTTATTTACTTATTTGTTTTTGTATTATTTTTTGAGACAGGATTTCTTTGTGTAGCCCCGTCTCTGCCTCCTGCTTGTTGGGATTAAAGGCATGAGCCACATTTTTAAATTTAAAATTAGGTGTCTATTTTAAGTATTATTAATTGGGTTCCGGGTGAAATTTGAAATATGCTAATTTGATGAGAGGGTTTTGTATTACATTTACTACTGCTGTATACTTGGATTTTTGGGTGGATTGAACTTAGAGCTCCATGCTTGTGAGGCAAGGTCTCTACCACTGAACTACATTCCCAGTTCTCTTCTTGGCTCTTATCAGTGTCACTTCAATATTTGAAGAAATATCTCATATGTTTTTTATGTTTTTGTTTGGGTATACTAATATTTGTGCAGCTGTTTTATTTATGTAGGTATATAAATAGAATTTCTATTCTAACACTATTACATGAATGATAAAATATTTCATAATAATTTGAGTGCTTTAAAATAAGGCTTGAAAATAGCGCTTTGCCTTTCCATATGTGTGCATGTGTGTGTGCATTCAGTGTTGAAGTCCACTTGTATTTATCTGATATAACACTCTGTTGTTTTAGATCTAGAGCAATGACATGTTAATTTAAAGAGACTAATAAACTTCAATTTGGTTCAAAAGAGAGTTCTAGATATTGAGGGCAGAGGACAAAATATGGAAAACTTCATTAAACCTTTCTTATAAAGAGCTCATAGTGTCATTGGGAGAGATTGACACGTGACTCCATCAAAATAGCCTGATGCAAATAAACAGTGGGCAAAGCCGTAGGAATGGGAGTGATGGCAACAATGAGAGGAAACAGACTGGTCTGTGCGCTGTTTGAGCTGCACTTTACACCCGCCAGCCAGTGTCTCTGCCTTTAATGATTAAGTTGGAGAACCAAGAAGAAATGAAAACTAGCAGTTTGCTATAATGAAATGTAAATCTAATGAAATGGAAACCTGATGCCTTTATCATTATAGGGCTTCCCCTCCCCTTGAGACAGTGACTTCCTCTATTGCCTAGTTTTGTCTCAAACTGCTAGACTCATGCCACCTTCCTGCATCAGCTTTCCAGGTACCAGGCTGGGCTTTGAAAGATGAATGGAAGGAAAATAGACCATACCCACTGTAGCTTAATCAGGTGCCCTTTAGCTTGGAGAAAAAGAATGACTTTGTTCCGGTACACAAAGCTGCTTTCTACTTTACTTTTCTTGGCTGTAAGAACCTGAACTTGATCTTGGTTGTTATGTCAGGAACCCTCTCACGATGACTGCTTGGTAGTGTCTGGGATTTTACGACATGTTTCCTCAGAGATTCCCAGTTTTCAGAGGAAAGGGCCCCTGTGATTGCTGAGCTCCAAAGACAATTAATTAGCCTGTCCCTTTGCCCATCAACACCAGGAAGGATGTGAGGAACACTCTTTTCAAAGTGGAAGGCCTTGGACATGTTTGTGGTGCAAAGGATATGGCTAAAGGTGCTGAAGAGAGCAGGAAGAGAGGATAGGGTTAAGTCCCTGAGCTATAAATAGAGGACAGGTCCCAAGGCATAGGTGGAGAGACTTACCTCTGCGAAATAGAGTTAGTCATAGTAGCAGACTTCTCTAGGGTAAGAAAGACAGTGGCTAAAAAAGAAGTATTGCTGATCCCTAGCACTGGAAACAAGTCCTAAATGACCCAGTCACTTAGATAGAAAATTGTCAGAATAAGTACTATTAAATGAATACTACGAAACCCAGTGAAAATGGCTAACAGTTCTCTGTTTATTATTATTATTTTTGCTATCTTATTATCTGTGTGCTGCTAGGTAACAATCAAATCACATACTAAGTAAGCTACAGCCTCAGTAATTTCTTTAATGAGACACCAAAAGAAGTAAAAGAAAAACCATGTTCTTTTGTCCTATACTGAGTAACAAGTATGTCATTTCCTTCCTGTTCATTAGACAGACACTTCACTGCCTCACTTTGTTTCAGTACTGTTTTCCTTTTTGTCTTTTAAATGTTGCATGTGTGTGTGTGTGTGTTGCCTGCATTTATGTATATGCCGCTGCTTGAATGCCTGGTGCCTACAGAGGCCTTGGAACTGGAGTTACAGGCAGCTATAGCCTCCATGAGGTTACTGAACACAGAACATCTGCAAGAACAGCAAGTACAGCAGGGTGGTGGTGGCGGCGCACGTCGTGAGTCCCAACACTTGGTAGGCAGAGGTAGGAAGATTTCTGTGAGTTCGAGGTCAGCCTGGTCAACAGAATGAGTTCCAGGACAGCCAGGGTTACACAGAGAAACCCTTTCTTTAAAAAAAAAAAAGAAAGAAAATAGCAAGTACCTTTAACCACAGAACTATCTCTTAGCCCTTATCCTTTACAAAAAAAATTGTGTCTATTTTATTTATGTGTACGTGTGTATCTGTGTACACCATGTGTTGTGTGGGCGCCTGCAGAGAGACCAGAAGAATGCATAGACAAGCCACAGGTGGCTGTGGGTACTGGAAGCTGAACCTGAGTCCCTTGCAACATTAGTAAAATATCTGGACCATTCTCCAGCCCTGGGGTTTTAAATGTTAAAAATGTACTTTACATGTAATAGAAACTGTGTCGGGGATTACAGCATAGTGCATGGTGAAACATCAGATTCCCTTGAATAAAGGCACCCTCCCTCTAACTTGATTTTCTCCCGTGACTGTTACAGATTTTGAACCTTATAAGGGTGACCTGGTAGAAATTGAGTTTTCGGAACAGGGAGACCCACAGAGCAGAAAGGCCATCTCGGTGAAGCCTCTGAAACACTATCATATAAACGAGGTAGTTCACATACTGTACTTGCCTTTGGGGTTGCCTCTCTTTCATTTAGTGGTCACTTTTGCTGCTCAGGATTATCCTACAAGTGTTAGGAGACCTAAAATAAAAGCCTTGCCAAAATGAACTTGTTTTCTGATCCAAAGTACTGGAATTCTAAAAGGAAATGACGAGAATAATGTAGTTCTTATGATGAAGTTTGAAGTTTATGTAGCCTACCTGGGAGGCGTCACAATGTGGTAAAGACCATCAAAACCAAAAGTCAATGATCAGGTTTCTCGGAATTGTTAAGAAAAGAGAATGGTGTGTCCTTTAAACTCCTGAGCAGTATGTGGGTATGATATGGGTAGTAAAAACCGAAAACAAGTTGGCTTGCACTCATTTTGTACCAGAGGAAAAATGAAGGAATGTGCAGGTGACAAGGTAGGGGAAAAATGATAGTCTACTTAACAACACATTCCTTTCCCACTCTTTTCTTTTCGAGCAGTCAGCCTTAACGGGAAGTTAGCAGTCATTGTGGGTAAGCTTTAGAACCAAATTCCCTCAGCAGAGGCCTGGTTCTCATCCTCAGGAACTGTTTGCATGGCTGTGAGGTTGGATCTGGACAGGGCTGTGCTTACATAGCGCCTGGATGATGCTGTTGTGTAGAGTAGGGTGCAAATCTGTGCTGGGGTGAAGGGATCTGCTGGTTAGAGCCAGACTCTATGACCATGAATTACTGTTTCCCACACTCATTGGTACCGTTTTTTTTTTTTTTTCATCCCAGGTTTGCATTACCAGAGCAGACGGACGAACTGGAGTGTTAGAAGACACCATCTTTTTCACCTTGGATTCTCTGAAACTTCCTTCTGGATATGTGCCTCAACGAGATGATATTGTCAATGTGGTTGCAGTACGGAGCATTCAATCCCCCTATTTCTGGAGAGCAATCACAATGACCCCAGTACAAGTATCATAGGAATAAAGCCTTTGCATTTCTTCTCCACCATTACTTCTATGGCTGAGGGGCCTGGTTTAATGCAATAGTTTGAATTACTAAGCCAAAATATATGTTCAATATGTTTTTACTTGGAAACACCCTGATGATTTTGTTGGAAGTATGGACTCACTTAGGAAGGTGCCTGATCTATTCAGAGACATCCCCAAACTGGCTTTTGTCTGTAGCAAAGGCACAGCACTTCATATTAGGTCAAATTCTTTGTTTTCCATGGTCAGGAATGTATTGTGCTGCTAGTGGTCCTTGAACAACATTCAGGGGGAGCTCTGCAAATACAAGTGTGTAATAGCTGAGTCCCCTTATACTGTATACAATGTTTCCTTTTTCCATAGCATTTTTCATTTCCCAGTACCTATTCAGTTGTTAAATTTAATACCTATGTAGTGGAACCCATACGTCCATGTTAGAACGTGAGCTTCGTATATACAGGGTTTGTGTTTATCCACAGCTTCTCGGCTGTGCCTGATAGTTGAGGCAGATGGCATCTTGCTAGCTTTAATAACCGAGTTATCTAAGCAACAGTCCTGTTTACCTGTGGTTAATTTGCCCTTCAGTCTCCGGGAATGAAATGTTCTGTATGTTATCAGCTGTTTAGTTGCTGGGCATTTGGAAACAAAAACATTGCCGTATGGGGTGTGAATCAGCTTCCACGCTCTTCTTTGTGGGAGAGGTGAAGCTTGTGTCCAGAAAAGCACTGGAACAAATCCGAAGCACCATGAAGGACGGGGACACGGCCTTCTCAAGCTGGAGGCTGTTACTAAGATCCCATGGGTTTACCCCATGAGATTCCTCCATTTTTCTTAACAGCATGTACCCAGATGACTGTACTTTTGTGAGGTATGTATCAATGTGTGGTGTCACTGGGAGGTAATGGTGAGCTCTAACTCTGTCCTAAGAGTCAACTTTCTCCCCATGCCACTGGCCCTGAGTAAGTTTGATGATGAGTTTTCCCTTACATTTCTAGTCAGCACTGTTGTGGGATAATCTTTTGGTACACTGTAAAGATATGTGTCTGCCTAAGGCACCTTCTGATTGGTTTAATAGAAAGCTAAATGGTAAATAGCTAGGCAGGAGAGGATAGGCAGGACTTCCTAGCAGAGGGAGAAAATCAGGAGGAATTTGATGCTCAGATTTCTCTAGCAGACATGGGGAAAGCTAGATGTGCCATACTGAGGAAAGATAAAAAAAAAGTCACGTGGCAGAATATAGATTTAAAAATATGGGTTAATTAAGTTATAAGAGGTAGATGGAGCCAGGCAGTGGTGGCGCATGCCTTTACTCCGGCACTCGGCAGGCAGAGGCAGACAAAACTCCTGAGTTCGGGGTCAGCTGTGTCCACAGACTGAGTTTCAGAACAGGCTCCAAAGCTACGAGAAACCCTGAAACTCTGTCTCAACACACACACACACACACACACACACACACACACACACACGACAACCAAAGAGCTAAGTGAAAACAAGCCTAAGCTAAAGGCCAACCTTTCATAATTAATAAGTCTCTGTGTCATTATTTGTGAGCTGGTGGTCCCAGCATTAAATTACTACTACAGCACTTCTCACAGTCATTGTACAATTAAAGACACAGGAGTGAACTGCTTTAATCTTAAGTAAATTCTCAGTAACTGTGATACTTATCACACAGTGATCTAGGTATTGGGTTAATATCAAAAGCATGCATGACCAGGTTATAATGGAACCTGGCTCATGCCATTGTCTCTCTTGTTCCTGACTCCAGGAGCCATAACATAGGAAAGGAAGGCATGGGGAAGCTTGGAAAGCTCCAGGTCCCTGTGATTATCATCACAGGAGGGGTGGTAGGGACATAGCATTTAAGAAAACACAGAGAGGAAAAGAGGAAGGTGGGCTTACTGAAAAAAGCATTTTCAAAGTCATGGGCTACCTACCATATGCCATGGTCAGTTGATAAACTAGGGGAGTAGCAAGCATGCACTTTATACATGCAGGGAAGAGACATGGTGAAGAAAGATAACATGCCTTATGAGGAAAACCGTATTCATGGGAATTAGATACCCAGACAACACTCTGAAGTACTTATTTCCCTTCTGTAACTATGGGTAAAATTTGAGAAATAAAGACCTCCTTAGAAATCCTGTGAGTATTTAAGATTCCTATTTCATGATGGAAATATAGCAATGGAAAATAGGGTCAGACACACATGACTGTGAGTCATAAGATTACAGTAACTGAAAAAAAAAAACATCCATTTGACTGCCGTAAGGATTGTGGGGGGGAAAAAAAACCAACCCTTCTAGCAAACAGCATTAAGCACCTAAACAGCCAACAAAGGGTCCACCCTTTCAGAGAATCTTTACTTTCCCTCTGTAATAAAAAGTACTTGGACGCGTAAATGGGGTTCTTGAGCCACACGCTCATTTGTTTGAGCAACATATTTTATGCCTTGTACTTCTAATAAATCCAGACTTTAATTATTACTACCATATGTCTTGCTGAAATCTTCATTAGAGATGGAAAGAACCTGGCCTTTATGTCATGGTTGACCTGAGAGATTCCCTCCAGTAACAAGAGGGAGGCAAGGTATTGGTGGGATCCCAGCACCACAGAAAAAAGAAATTAAACTGCCCTCTTAATCTAATTACGCACTAATGGTCAAAGACTAATTTCTTCCAATATAAATTATACTAGTTTGAAAAAGGATGGTTTATATATATGTCTGTCTTTTTTAAGTTGGAGAACGGTCACTTTAAGGGATTATATAGGAAAAAATAAACATGAAAGAGAACTTTTGCTTTTCCTCTAATGCGTTTTTGTCTAAACATGTTTAGTTATATCTAAAGTTTCAAATTTATGACATCACATTTTTCTATGTTTCTCTTTAAAAATGCACTTGGTTTTTCAAGACAGGGTTTCCCTGTGTAGCTCTGGTTGTCCTGGAACTTGCTCTGTAGACTAGGCTGGACTCAAAGTCAGAGATCTACCTGACTTGGTCTCTTGAGAGCTGGGGGTAAATGTGTGTGCCACCAAGCACAGCACACAATACACCTTTAAAAAGGCAAGTTATTGAACTATTTGTTTGATAATGAGTCTTAAAACGAATCTTCCAAACATTTGCTAACATTAGTATTCAGTGACACTCCAGGAACTCTATCTCTGAAGAAAAGTGTAACGTCCTTCAACAACGAAAAGTAATGATACATTTTTTTTTTTTTTAGACAGAGTTTTACTCTGTAGTCCTGGATAGCCTGGAAATGGCTTACGTAGATCAAGTTGGCTCAAACTCCCAGAAATCAGCATGCCTTTGCCTCCTGAGAGAGTGCTGAGGGTAAAAGTGTGCACCACTAGGCCCTGCCCTCATGATATACTCCTATGCATTACTAAGGACATGTGTTACTTAACTGCAGACCAATCCCAATGACATTTGATACCCTGTGGAAATGAAATTCTTGAATGTCTTAAAATTAGTATGTAGGTAGGGCATGCTGTGGTACATGCCTTTAATTCTAGCACCTGGGAATCACAGATAATCAAATCTATGAATTTAAGGCCAACCTGGTTTATATACCAAGTTGCAGGCCAGGCAAGGTTCCATGACAAGACCTTATCTCAACAAACAAAACCAAACCTAGTATAAATTGTCAGCTTGATTGATGTATTAACTGTTTAATTCCAAGATACTAATGCAAGCCCTTTAACACATTTTCTTAGAATGGGCTATGCAATTCAGTTAAGAATGGATGGATTGGAGCGTTTTTTTTTTTCTCTTAAATAACAATGTAAACTAGGCATAGTGGTGTCCACCTGTTGTCTCAGGTACTTTGGAGGCTGAGATGCAGGGACTACCTGAGATTATAACACCAAGTTTATTTTTTAGTTCAGTGTTAGACACCATCATGATCAATAATGGTAAGATCCTGTCAGAAAAAAAGACATGAAATAAAGCCAAGGTACCTTTGTATACCTGACGTTTGTACCTTTGGGACTGATATACTAAATACTAAAGTCAATATCCAAACAATCATTTTTATTGAAAAAAGTTAACAATGTCACAAAGAAAAATCCACTCTATTATAACAAAAGAGTGAAAACCTTGACATACAAGAATAGTTGATACTGACACAACTGGATTTTATTCAAAATAAGGTAAGACAAGGTGAACAAGCTAATGACTAAAGATCTTGCCATATCAACCAGAATTTATCTTAAACTATGACTATTCGCTGGCACCTGAACTGTGTCCCTTAGGATGCATCGTGGACTGAAAAGCCTCTTGAAGGCTCACTATCTCTTGGTGATTCTGTTAAGGAAAAGAGATAGTAAACAGGTTTATTTCTTACTTTCGGTGTCATTCCTACAGTAGGAAATAAAATATTTCAGTGCTTTTATTAATTCCTATTTCTGATTTGAAATACAACTTACAGATTCTTTCATAATTTTTTTTCGCAGCCTGTTCATTTCTTCTTTAAGTTCATTCTGTGTATCCATAAGCAGACAGTCGTTCTTCTTCTCCACATCCTCCAAATTCTAAACACAAAAGGCTAGTTTAGTCCCATGGCATCTTTCATCCCAAGTTCTAAGTTTTAAAATAAAATTTCAAGAGAATTTTCAATATTTTAGTAATATACATTACTTTGAGAAAAAAAAACCTAATACACGAAGACCCAAATTACTACTGTTAAGTCACAAAATAACTCAGACATCAACCAAATAGAGTTATAGAAGATACAATGGCACATTGTGCTCAAGCAGTTTTAGTGAATGTTAAGGTCAGGCTGAGGCTGGAGAGGGCAAGAGTTGGGCACAGTATCACAAACTTTGCAGGCGCCACTGGGAGAGCCTGAAGGCTAACATGTGGAATATAGACACTTTCTCTTCCAGAAAAAAGAAAATGGAAAATAGAGAAATAGGAATTCTGAAGAGTCTTCTAGGCAACCATCATAATTGTGAACATTTCTAATGATTTTCTCAAACATCAGGCTACAATCTACTTAAAGACAAAAAGTCAATGTAGCATGATGTGACAATAAATTTACCAAAGGGAAAAATAATCTATAGTATGAGATCATTTTTCAAGTCATTAATAGCAAAATATATATTATTGTTTTGTAAGAGAGTATCTCACTTTAGTGACCAGCTACCCTCCAACTGTCCATTCATCTGTCTTTAGCACTAATACTGCACGAATGTGCTGATCATTTAAAAATGATGGTTTAAATCTTTCCTAATCATTTGCCAATCATTGCCTAATCATCACCAACCACGTGACAAATACAATGTTAAGTGCTATGGAGAAAACAAGAGAGAATAATACATAATTGCTCATTTTTCCAGAAAAGATAAACATTCTAACCAAAAACATAGCGGCCGTGCGGTGGTGGTGCACTCCTTTAATCCCAGCACTCAGAAAGCAGAGGTAGGCAGATCTCCGTGAGTTCGAGGTCAGCCTGGTCTACAGAGTGAGTTCCAGGACAGCTAAGACAGTTATAAAGAAAAACCCTGTCTGGAAAAGCCCTATGTATGTATGTATGTATGTATGTATGTATGTATGTATGCATATAATTTATTATATATATGTGACAAGAACTATGAAGAATGAATTGAAAGACAGAGCAAACAGTTTTCATAGTAGAAGCAAAGGATGATGAGAATATTAAATAGTATAAGCTAGGATCTCAGCAATAGGACTTAAATAAATAATGAAGCACTATGGAAAGGAAAATCGTCAAAAGTCTAGTAGTGAAAACATGGGCTATGAAGAAATTTGAAAATAGTTTCAGGGGATATTAGAGCAAACTTGCAAGAACTGCATTTGGAAACACGTAAAATAATTTTCTTTAAAATACTTTAAAACTATTTATTGTTTATACATCAACTTACTAGCATATAGTTAATTCTCAAGGAACAAATTTTAATCTTTGACTATTAAATTCTAGGATAATGGATAAGTTATTTTAGCCATTGGAATAATTTTAAAAATTGACAGGCTAGAAAAATTTCCCTACTAAATTTCGAAACAAGGGTTAATTTAACTTGGGTCCTTCCTGGGGCTGGAGAGATGATTCAGTAGGTAACAGCACTAGCTGCTCTCGCAGAGAGCCTGGAGTTAATGACCAGCACCCACAAGGCTGCTCTCAACTTTCTGTAACTCCAGTTACAGGATATCCTTTGCACTAAATCTTTTCAAAAAGGTATTTTGAGCCTTTCCTATTTAATATATATGAGGATTACAAAGATCATAGAAATGATATGTAGACTTTCTCTTTCCAGTTCAATAAAGAAAATAAATATACTTGAAGTATGACTATTAATACATGTGAAGCATATATCTATGGAAAACTCATAATTTACCATCTTCTATCTGAAATAACCACCCTAAAACCATTAGAATTCTACAGATCTACCACATCAATTAAAAACAGTTCGTTCAAAATGGAAATTACCTTATTCTGGTAAGGAAAATGTACATTATATCTTTAGGAACATATTGTTATCGTGTCTAACATACCTTTATGAACTGCTCGTGTATTTGTTTAATTGTTTTCAGTCTCTTGCTCTGAACGAGTCTACACTGTTGAAAAGCCTTTTCTTCCTGTTGAAAATCATTCTACAAATACAAAAGGAAAAACTGTATTAACAGTTTAGTAATGGTTGGTTGTTCTGGGCCTCATACATGCACGGCAAACACTGTCCTTTTGAGCTACAGCCTAATCTCTAAAACTTTAAATTAAAAAAAGTCTATTTTAAACTCAGAAAAATATTTTAAAATGACTAACTTTATTATTTCTCTTTAATAACCATTATGCCTGTTTAAATTATTTTCTAAACACTAACATGTTATGAACCTTCTTCATTAGCTTCCTAAAATTATAGGCCAGATAAGGTAGAAAATCATTTTCAAGACACCATTTATTCTTGAAATTTCAGTCTCTAAACAAGCCCAGCTTTGTTTTCTGCAACACAAGAATAGCTTCTCTATGCATATTAATTAGAATTGTGATACCAACCATTAGTTTTACATATTTTTCCTGCATTTTCTGAAAATCCAAATCCCATTGCTGAAACAGATTTGTAAATGCCTGAGCATACTCTCCGTTAAGCTTTTCCCTGTAAACATAATAATGAATGGCGTTACTTCTTATACTAGTAGGAAAGTAACATTCAAGCCAAAATTGAGTTGATACACTATTATAGCGGAAAAAGAAAGTAATAGCAGTTTAAATATTCTGATGGAAAACTCAGAAGTAAAATTAGATTTACATTGATTCCAGAAGTGCTTCTTCCTAACATAAAAGTCTCCCCTCTCATGGGGACTTTTGAAAACTGGAAATTTTATCATACGTATATCTATTTTCAAAATAATATTTTCTCCAAAAAGTTTATTTTTCATTTTTTTCTACTTAATATAGAGTCTTAAAAATACTAAATGATTTTCAAACAAAACATTTCACTAAGTTCCCCACTCCCCATTTTGGCACAGCCACAATCTAGTATAAACCAAGAGGTCATATTCAAATTGACCTCTCTCTACACCATCAGCTATGGTTAAATAATAGTTATTAGGGTCTATGCATCTAAACTTAATTCAACTAATTTCAGGAGTGAATAATAAAATACCAATTGTTATTTAAAGGAGAAAAACCTAATCTTCATTGGCTTCTGTGAAGCAACGCTATAAAGATAGGATGTCATGGAGGCACCTGCCTCAAGAAAAGTGAAATATTTTCACTAGAGACTCAAACAGAAAATGACATTTTTCTTAAGTGCTTTACATAAATATATATTAAAAATTGGTACAAACAGGTTTTTTTGTTTGTTTTCTTTTGTTTTAGGAAAGAAAAACCTTACACAGCATCTTCACGTGAGTTCCAAACTTGTTTCATATTCTGGTCAATTCCTTCCAAAGACTTAGTATTTGTTTCCAGTCTTTGTCTCTTGGCAGTAAGAACACGGTTAATGTCAACTGTATTTTAAAAAAATGTTCATTAGAATTCAATGCTTAAGAAATTACTTTGTTCTCACACATTCAAGTAATTATAAATTCTAATAATGCTCACTCATCAATAACAAACATTTAAACATTTAACATTTAAAACTATAGTGTCAATATGATACAGCTTTCATATTTTGAACACCTAGGATTTTAGATTTTCTGACTAGGTCTGTTCAATCAACAATTTCTATGAAAACATTCCAAATCCAAAACTCTAAAATCTGAAGCATTTCTGGTCCCAATCATTTTTAATAACCATATGGTAATTAGGATTTTCCTAACTGAAGATGTTTTTAGAGGTGACAAAAATGAACTAATAAACAAAGCAAAGGGGAAGTATAGAATTTATGAAAAATAATTAAATAAACGCTAACTACTTCTAAAATTTACAAAACACTCTATACTGGAAGCGTGCATTTGCCTGAATTCTTGTTAGAGAGCATGGAATAAAATTGCTTATTAAAAATATACCCTAAAAAGGTTAATTTGTCAACATTATTTGTAAGAGAGAGTGAATGAGAGGCTGGGGATGTAGTTGAGTTTAAGCACTTGCCTAGCATATCTTGTTTTGTATGCTTTGGTTACTATTTATATTTTTTATATTTCATTAAGCCTTTATAGGGCATTTTTACCACTATGTACAGCAAGCAGTTCATAAAAAATTTAAATTTCAAATATGCTGTGGTTGCACCACTACTAACTCCAGCACTGGAGAGGCAAAGGCACACAGATCTCTGTGAATTTGTGGCTAGCCTGGCCTACATACCAATTCCCAGGCCATTTAGAGCTACATTGTGAGACTGTATCTCAATAAGAAAAGAAAATTCTTGTCAGTTACTTTTAATAACCATAAGAAATTTCTATTCTATAAATAATTTAGAATTTTAGTAGCTAAAATTTTTTCATACAACACATATATGGAAGAGATAATTTCAGCAGCTAACACACATATTAAACAACAAATTATAAAACATGTATCTTGACACCACTAAATAGAGAACATCTTTCAAAAAAGCTGATTATATGAGTAATCCTTAAAGAAGCCTAATTTTAACTGTTTTGTAAGTTATGAATGGGGGCATTTTGCTTTCATCTGGTTAGGTCTGTGTACCATGAGCCTTGTTTCCACTGAATCCAAAAGGCAGCACTGGATTCCCTTGGACTGGAGTTACACATAGATGGTTGTGAGCCACCATAAAGGTGCTGGGAATCAAATTGGATTCCTTTGGAAGATGCTAGTGCTCTTAACCATTGAGCCATTTCTCCATCCCCTATTAACTCTTAAAATAATACTATCCTTGGTTGGTTTGTCTGTCCCTGTAATCCCAGCACCTGTGAGGTTGTCAGGTGATCTACAATGTTAATGCCAGTCTGAGTTCCCTATGAGACGATCTCAAAACAAACGAGTAAACAAGCAAAAGTGAACATTCTCCCCAAGAAAGCCCACGTAATTGATCCTTAACAAACTTCGTAAAACAAGGTTTTAGGGTTCAGAGTTTAAACCTCTATTGGCTATCTAATTTTCTTCTTAGATTATAATTTATTAGAATGAAAATAGTAACAAGGAGTTATATTAGAAGCTTCAGTTTAATACTGCCTAGAAAGGAATGCAGTATAAATCCTTAGAAATAAAATGATTTTTTAAAAAGAAACTGATATACAGAGTAAAAGAAACTGATATATAGAAATAGTAGATTGTTTCCTATTTTCTTCTTCTAAAAAATCCATTGAAGTCACATATGTCTAAAAGCATTATTTTTACTTTTCTCATCATGAAAAACTATAAGGAAGAATATGATGCTAAATCACAAATATTTTATGAAAATCTTATAAATGAGAACAAAGCATTGAAGAGTAGGCATGTAATATACTGGTTAACACATTATATGCAAATTATTATGTAGTTTTAAATAATTTTCTTAAAAAAGTATCTTTAAAACATACCTGCAACTCTTCCAAGAAGAGCCTCTACCTTTTCCCTAAGAAGAAATCACATTTTAAAAATGGCACTGTAGTTCAGTAAAAGAGCATTTTCCAAGCATTCACAAACTCCCCTATTAAATATCAAATACAATGACAAACACTGTTTCGTTAAGGATTCATAAGCTATAACAGTTTGGAAAAAATAGCAAATGTCAAGTGTCTTATATATACTACCTGTTACATAAACAAAGCAAGTATTTCTTGAGATACATTATTCAACAGTCAAACAATTTTTAATATATTACCCCATATGTTCAAACAGTTCTATGGGACTTCTCCTTCCAGGTGAATCACTTGATGAACTCTGTTCCACTGACAAGAAAAAAAAAATTGAAATTAAGAACACTTTTAACAAACAGTAATAAAACTTTGTTTGCAATTTTTCAGACATTGACAACTTAAGCTTTTGTGTTAGATATAGAAATACAAATTTTTCTTTGAAGGTTAGATGAAATTAAATCATGATTCATGACCATGTGTAGGAACAAATTTTGAAGTGTTTCTAGGATAAGATTACATAGCAAGTTATTTATGGATCAACATGTTAGGACTTCAAAGGCAAGATACACTACATGGATTTCTAAAATTTAGGTATAGGGATATGGAGAGTAAAGTACACAGAATAAACTAACAAACTGTAAGTGTATTAGGTTCAAAACAAAAGAGCTGGAGCAAAGTATCAACACATTCGATGCCTTTAAATTTTTTATGTTATTATTAGTAGTAGACACACGTCAGTGTGGGGATCAGAGAACAGCTTTCTGCAGTAGATTTCTTTCCTTCCTTCTACTATGAGGGTTCGGGGAATCAAACTCAGGTCCTCCTGCTTGCATGGTAAACACTTTTACTCCCAGAGCCAGTTTTGGCAGCCCCCAACATTTGACATCTTATACCTTGAGTATCACTCGGAAGTGAAACACAGAAATCCAGTTCATCGTCTGAGTCATAAACTACTATGTGCTCTTTCATCGCATGTGAGCTTTCAGGCCCTTGGGGCTTTTCCGGATTGCTTTTTGCATGGGGAAACATAACTGTATATTTTCTGTTTGAAAACACAAGAAGAAAAACAAATCTCTCAAAACAACTGAATCCAAAGGCATTATTTAAATAAACTGAGTAAGCTATCAAATGAAATCAAGATGTTCTTATGTGAATAAAGTGTTAACACTTTTTTTACTTTACTGCATCCAAAGGGAAAAAAATGGTAGTTGTCAATGTAAAAATGATAAACACAATAGTGGAAAAAGTGAAGGATGCTCGGGTTGTTTCTTTTTCTTTCTTTCTTTCTTTTTTTTTTTATTTTATGTGCATTGTTGTGGTCTTGTTTCTAATGGATTTGAGGCTGACCCCAGAAGTATAGAGATAGCGCCTAGAACATTCCTGGCCTTTCAGATCCTACCGAGGACCCTATTCCTTCCTCACCATGCAGTTCCCCAGCTCTACCAGGGTCCCTGGAACCTCTGCTTCCCTGGGCCTTTTGCCATTCCTTATCCCCCTAACTCTTAATCCCTTTAGCTCCCCCCACCTCTGAACTCACCCTTTGCCTCTAGAGCTCTTTCCTCACATTGAGTTCCTCCTCGACTCTAGCTCCTACATGCTTTCAGTCCCTCTCCAATACTACGAAGGACTAATACTTCATACTCAGTCTAGCTTGTCATTGCCTTTCATGTTCTCCTTGTCCCAAGCCCCTCCCCCAGAGACTCCATCCCTGCTAACCTTTTCCCAGCTCTCCTAACCTACAAGCTCCTCCTAACCCTCTAAATCTTTCTTTCTTCTACCCTCTCCCCATTTCTGCCTCACCTCATACACTCCCCAGTTCTTCCTCATCCCTAACTCCTCCCCAGTAACCTCTCCTTGGCTCTTCTTCACTCCCGGTTCTTTTCTTCTGTCTGCTTCCCCCCTTCCTCCTCACCCTATTGCAGTCCTTCCCCCAGTCCCTCCCAAGCTTCTCCTTGTCCTTACTCCCTATTCAGGTCCTCCTCCTTGGCAACCACTATCTAGAACCTTCTAATCCCCAAGATCTCCCCAGATCCTGACCCCTAGCCCCTACCTAGCTTCAACTCCCCAAGTCCCTCCTCATCCCTTTTCCTTCTGGTTCCCCATATGTCCTCAGCATCTTCTCACCTAGTCCTTCCCAAGATCATCCTCACATCAGAGCTCACCCTTGTTCCTAGCTTCCCCCCAGCTCCTCCTTACCCATAACTTCTCCCCAGCTCCTCCTAACCTCCCAGTTCCTCCTAACCACCAATAGCTGTCCCCTTGTTTCTAGTCCCTCTCCAGTTATTCCTCATCCCATCTAGCATCTCCTACCCCTTAACCCTATTTACTCCTACTTATTCCAGCTCCTCCCCAACATCTAGTTCCTCCTTGTTTTTTCCATTTGCCCAGCTACTCACTCCAGCCCCTGTCAAGTTCATCCTCACCCCTAACTCCTTCCTAGCTTCAACTCACATCCAGCTCCTCCTTACCCTTGGCCCCTCCCCAGTTTGGACAGCCATCCTCTCCTTTCTGCTCCCCAAATCTTCCTCACTATGTATTTCTTCCTAGCTTCTCGGGCCTCCCCAGCTTCTCCTCATCCCCAATTTCCTCCTTGCTCCTAATCATTTCCCTGATTCCCCCTCACCCTTAGCCCCAACTGCCAACTGGCCTCCAGCCCCTCCCTATATCTTCATTCTCACTCTAGCTTGTCTTTATTCCTAGACCCCATGCCCCTCTGCCCCACCACCCTCTGCTTGGAGTTGCCACCTTCATAATGAAAGCAGAGACCTCCCAAACCTCTAAGCTTCCCTTCCTTCCACTTAGGCTTTAGTCAGCTTGAGGCAAGGAACCCCTGTTTTACTATCAGAGGCCTCAATGAGGTTCCCTGCCTCGGCCACCTCCATTTT